GCTGCCAGCACCAAACACACAAAAACCTCCCCAGGCTTGCAGTAAAGGCCGTAAGGAATGCCTGCGTTCCAGCAAACAGCACCCATGGGAACGCTGCTCCATGGAAGCTGCTCTCTAAGTGATGCATAAGCCCAATTTGCCCCATCTGTGAAAGATTTAACAGCAGGAAGGTTTTGTATTACTGAACTTTTCTTTTTATTTAAACAAGAGGCAGGCTTAAGTTTTTCAAACTGCGCTGTAAATCTGATTTCTAAATCTACCAACAAACACCACCTAGTTTTTCATTAATATTGCTTTATAGTGCATCACTGCACTCAGAAGCAAAGAGATGAATACCAGCTCCCAGTCATTAACACAAAATAGTTTCTATTCCAGTGTAAATTGCCTGAGGCCTTATTAACATAAAGGAACAAGCCAGAAAGCTGTTTCCTGTTTTCTAAAAGTAAACAGAACCTCAGTTCTAATGTATGGAAAGCAGGGGGGAGGGAACAAAGTGCTCTAACACAGCGATAGAGATCCATTTAAATATTGAATTGTTTCCAGTCGGGGTGTGCAATTTCAGAAGGCAAACCTGTGGCTCATGCAACCCTTCCTACACTGCAATGAGGACTGAGAGCTCAGCTCTCAGGATTATGCAACTCCCTGACAGCATCTGGGTTTTTTGGATGATATAAACACAATTATAACTACAGGAAAAGGAGCACAATAAGAAGTCAGGATTAAAATCTGTTCCAAGGAGAACACTGAAATTTATGTAGTGGACAGGAAGCTACTTTCAGGCAAAAAAAAAAGAAGTTTTGGGTTTTTTTTCCCAAAGAGGTTTTAAAACAGAGGAAGCAAAGTGAAGCAGTGGCAAAGAATATTTTGAATACAGTCAGTTTGTCGGACAGCAAGGAAGAAAGGGCCAGGATTTGGGGAGAGGGGGGAAGAGGAGTGAGTTCAACAAGCAGTGTCTGGAGGGCCTGGCTCAGCAGCTCGATTCTGACAGAGAGAAACGGGGCCAGTGCCAGCCAACAAGTGCCTGATACCATGAGGGAGAGGAAAACTATTTTAAGCTTTGTCATCTGCACGCATGGATTCTCTCTGCTAAATGCCAGATGCAGAATGTTTGTCTCTAAGCGTGCAGGAATATCAATTATTGCAGACTGTACTACAACCAGATGACATGTTTACAAATGAAGGTACTCTTCCTCTGCAAGTGCCTGTCCTTTCCTATAATGTACCACAGGATTTGACCCAAACAACCAGAGCTCAGAGTCATTTAAATCAGAAGCAGAAGTAAAATTAGCCCATGAAGGGAAATGTGTTTCTGTTACTGTGAGGGAAGCAAACAGGCAGATAAAATTCTTATTTCCAGCCACTGACATCTACGTGTTTAACAAAACTGCTGGAGAAAAATCACTGCTGTGGTTCAGGGCTATGCAATGCCCTAGGAAAGTTCAGAGGGTTGAACTCCACCTGCTCCCAACAAATATCCACATCTGACACAAAACTATTGCTGTTCCAAAGAAATGCAGCTGCCAAGGCAGGACAGCCACCCTGCCCATGGCCCTGGGGGAACTGAGAGCTGTGGGACCACGTCAGACAGGTCCTGAGAGAGGAACCACAGCTGCCCCCAGCCCCAGGGTCCCTCTCCCCTGCTGGAAATTACAGCTCCATTCACCCAATGTGTACAAGTCAAACTAAATGCTCTCAAGAGCGCAAATCTTTAACTCAGAAGTTGTTTTTACTCAGGGCAGCACTTTCATGCATCAAAACGTGAGTAAACAGATTAGCAAGGTTTCCTTTAATCAGTCACACACAAAGCCTTTGGCCAGTGAGGCACGGCGAAGCTGTTACCACAGCTACTATCAGCAAACAAGGAGAGAAACAGCGTGAGGCCGGCATTTCTCTAGCTGCATATTCCAAATAAATGCAGAAAGCAGAGCTGGGAGGGCCCTGCTGCCGAGCCTTTGCCCAGGCACAATGAGGCAGTTGCAGGAGCTTCCCTTGCATGCACAGAAGGGCAGCAGAGCCAGCCCGGGCTGCAGCACCACTGGGGACAGCTCTGGAGGCAAAGAGCAGCACAGCTGGGGCCTGCAGCCTCTCACAGCACTGCAGGCACAGCTGGGACCCTCTCACAGTGCTGCAGGCACAGCTGGGACCCTCTCACAGCACTGCAGGCACAGCTGGGACCCTCTCACAGCGCTGCAGGCACAGCTGGGACCCTCTCACAGCGCTGCAGGCACAGCTGGGACCCTCTCACAGCGCTGCAGGCACAGCTGGGACCCTCTCACAGCACTGCAGGCACAGCTGGGACCCTCTCACAGCACTGCAGGAACAGCTGGGACCCTCTCACAGCACTGCAGGCACAGCTGGGACCCTCTCACAGCACTGCAGGCACAGCTGGGACCCTCTCACAGCACTGCAGGCACAGCTGGGACCCTCTCACAGCGCTGCAGGCACAGCTGGGACCCTCTCACAGCGCTGCAGGCACAGCTGGGGCCCTCTCACAGCGCTGCAGGAACAGCTGGGACCCTCTCACAGCGCTGCAGGAACAGCTGGGACCCTCTCACAGCACTGCAGGCACAGCTGGGACCCTCTCACAGCACTGCAGGCACAGCTGGGACCCGCAGCCTCTCACAGCACTGCAGGCACAGCTGGGACCCTCTCACAGCACTGCAGGCACAGCTGGGACCCTCTCACAGCACTGCAGGCACAGCTGGGACCCGCAGCCTCTCACAGTGCTGCAGGCACAGCTGGGACCCTCTCACAGCACTGCAGGCACAGCTGGGACCCTCTCACAGCACTGCAGGCACAGCTGGGACCCGCAGCCTCTCACAGTGCTGCAGGCACAGCTGGGACCCTCTCACAGCACTGCAGGCACAGCTGGGACCCTCTCACAGCGCTGCAGGCACAGCTGGGACCCTCTCATAGCGCTGCAGGCACAGCTGGGACCCTCTCACAGCACTGCAGGCACAGCTGGGACCCTCTCACAGAACTGCAGGCACAGCTGGGACCCTCTCACAGCGCTGCAGGCACAGCTGGGACCCTCTCACAGAGCTGCAGGCACAGCTGGGACCTGCAGCCTCTCACAGCACTGCAGGCACAGCTGGGACCCTCTCACAGCGCTGCAGGCACAGCTGGGACCCTCTCACAGCACTGCAGGCACAGCTGGGACCCTCTCACAGAACTGCAGGCACAGCTGGGACCCTCTCACAGCGCTGCAGGCACAGCTGGGACCCTCTCACAGAGCTGCAGGCACAGCTGGGACCCTCTCACAGCACTGCAGGCACAGCTGGGACCCTCTCACAGCACTGCAGGCACAGCTGGGACCCTCTCACAGCGCTGCAGCCCCAGGGCTGGCAGCTCTGCCCCCAGATCACCCTCAGGAGGCAGCAAGAGCCAGCTTGGGTTTGGAGCTTTCACTGCCCACCAGCTCCAGCTGTCCTCACCATCCTGAGATGAACACTGCAGCACAGCCCTGACAGAGGAAGGGGAAAACAGCCCTAACCTTTCATTAGATCAGTATTTTATACTCCGTAATTATCAAGCATAGGTTACAATTTCATTTAATTTCTTCTCAGTTACGAGTACTTGACAAATTATGTCAAAGGGTATTCTTGGCGTATTAATCTCCTCACTCAAGGGGGAACTGCAGGTTAAATTTCAACAGGAAAGATAATTGCTTTACACTACTGGAAGGTAGGCAATAAGGAGCCTCTGGAATGGAGCTGCTGCATTTCTTCCCATTGGTCTCTGTGCCCCACTGCACACATTTCACACTGAAATACTGAAGGGGGGCTTGCTTGGGCAACACATTCTGACCACACACAGTGAAAGGATGGATCCCAGGGCAGAGCAGGAACTTGCAAGTGGGTATCAAAGCAGAAAACAAACCTTGCACCTGACCAACAGTTTTGAGAGGGTAACAATATTCTTCCGAAATAAAAGGATTATCTAAATGGAAAAGCAGCTAACAACAAACATAACAACAACTAACAATCCCAACTGTCCTGGAGAAGGATATGCCTCCACTCCCCTGAAAGGTGTTTGGAAGCCCCTGCAGCTCTCAGGCCTGCAAGCTGCCATTCCTCTTTTGAAACAGCTGCAAGTTTTACACACTGTGAGCAGTGACAGGCCAGCTTGAAAAAGCCTTCAAGATTCAACCCTGACAGAAGTAATTCCTTCCAAAACTGCCCCCTGCCATCATTTATCCCGCCGGTTTTTTCACTTTGCTGAGGCTGAGTGCCAGCCAGGCGCCCTTCAGAGAGCAGCAGAACTACACGTGGACAATGCATCTTCTAAAATAACGTGCAGGCTCAATATGAACCCAGCACCCTGTGCAGAGAGCCACAGGCCCAGCAGAGCACGGAGCTCACAGCACAGCAGCCAGAGGGGCTCCAGCACCAGCCCTGCCGTGTCCCATCACATCCTGCCAAGCACCACGGCCCAGCTGCGCTGCCATGGACTGAGGGTGGCCCTTGGGAGCAGTTTTAGCTGGCATCTGCCTCGCTGGAGGTCACACTAATGCTCCTGCCAGCCAAGGGAAAGAGCAAGCAGCTGAGCACTCAGGGCTGCTGCTCTCAGCAGTGCCAGCTTATGGAGGCTTAGCCAACACAAAGCCACGGATGCTTTTTACTCAGTGTGACGTTATTGCCACTAAAAGACTCATCTGTGATCCCTCCTGGGGAAAAGAGTTCCTGCTTTAAGCAGCCCTCCTTGCTAAAGGAGAAAAAAGCCTAGAAAGGAATTCTGTTGTACCTTTTACACAGCAGAAACACATGGTTCTTTATCAGAAAGGATGAAAACACACATGTGACACTGTATTTCAATACCAAAATGCTTCCTGCACACAGCTTCTGAGACAAAAATTATCTACAGCATTTACTATGTAATCCTGCTGATATTAAATGGGATTCTGAACCAGTAATGAACTTCACCTTGGATACAAGCTCTCTGCAGAACTCAGAGTGGTACTGCTGCCATGTTTGTCTCTTGTCCTGACACTTAAAACCTACCTTTAAAGCCTCTATGACAAGATCTCTTGCTTCTAATTCTCCCTCGAGAATGCTAAACAGCGTCAGTAGTTCTGGTTTGCTGAGTTTTTCCAGATTCATCCTGAAAACCTGAAAAATAACGAAACCCAGTTTAGTAGGCATTTCTTTGGACATTAGGATCAGTATTCGAAGCTATGACATATAATCTCCATTTAACCTCAGCTCCCAGCTTTCTGGACTGCAAATTGCCCTAAAGGGGGGATAATTTTCTCTCCAGCTTCCACCACCAGTTGCAGAAGATGCATTTGTCACCTCCTCCCAGGGGACAGGAACACATGCACTCCCAGATGGCGACGGCAGAACGTGTGGGCTGACAGGACAAGGCAAAATTCACCAAGCAGCAGCCAAAGCTAACAGGAGAGGGGAACAACAAGGATATTCAAAAGTCATACTGATTGCACATCTGGCTGCCACAGCTGCAAACAGCACTGGGGAGCTGTGATGAGTGGAGGCCAGCGTGGGCCACCCACAGGGGCTCGGCAGGGCTGGGATCTGATTCCTGCGAATGCCATCAGCCAGGCTGATGGAGCAGGCCCAAACCCTCCACAGAAATCAATGCCACGGAAAATACACACTTCATTGCTGTTCTTTCAAACTGTTTCAATACCAGCATCATTTATTAAATATAATTTCACTGCCTGTGTAAGAGGTCCATCATCTGAACTGCACATAAAGAGGCTTCACATTCCCTTGCATCTTTGCTGATACACTTAACACTGTCCCATAAGAAGCCTGCTTGTTACATTATTTTGTTAAAAATATAAATAATTTCAGACTGAATCCTTGTCTCTGATGAAAACATACCCACTGATAGAGTCTTGTGCTTTGCACAACCATCAAATATACTTTTCTGAGTCCAAGTTACGTCCATCACTTCGTGTTGAGCAGAAAATGCTACAGCATCAAGAAGCTACTCAGAGATCTCAAACTCCAGTGGCAAGTGATGAAGGGTTAAATCAGCCCCTGCTGGAGAATCCATCCAGCTAAAACATTCAGCTGAAGTCTAGTTTGTCTGAAGTCACTGCTCCTTTACAACTGATTTGCATAACTGTGCCTTGGAGAGTTACACACAAAAGCAAGTTCTGTCTTGTTTGTGCCAGAGCAGTTTTCCAGTGGCTGGGAACAGAAAGTTCTGCAGTCATCATACAGCAAGAGAAATCAGAAATCTGCTCCGTGCCCCTCTGCTAGGCAGGGAAGTGTCTCCTCACACCCACGTTCCTGCCTCACACGGTGTTTTACAGGAATTCCATCAAGCAGCAGCATTTCTTACAGGCTCTGCTGGCTCCCCCTCCCTTGGCACGGGCTGCTCAAGGGAACACCAGGGCAAGGGACCACGAGTGGCTGCTCCAGAGCCCAACGGAGCTGGACACCACAGACCTGTCCCTTTGCATTTCTGTTCCCTGCTGCAGATCCAGGCAGACTCAAGAGGAAAACCCACGAGTGGAACGTTTGGGAAATCTGCTCATGTTTGTCACCGTGCCAAAAAGCCCCGATCAAAACTCGACACAAAGGCACAATTTAGGAGACTCGCTGTACTGACTAAAATCCCGTTTCTGCGGGCCAGGGCAGTGCTGGTCACCTCTGGTCAGTCCATGGAGCTTGGCAGAGATGTCCAGGTGGGAGCCTGACCCTCTCCCTCCCTCTGGACACGGCTGGAGGCTCTGCTGCCACGGGGAGCCCGGCTGGCTGAGACCACGTGCAAGGAGTGTGATTTACAGCTTGGTCATCTCAGAAAAACGAGGAGAGGCCAACAGAAGCAGCAAAGAAATGCTAAAACATCAAGAAGTAGCCACAGAGAGTGAGAAAAGAGACAGCCTGGTTCTAGTCTTTGATATTTACCATGTTTGTGCTGGTGCTCGTGTCAAAGCTGCAGCATTTCCCTGGGCAGCCCTTGGATGTGGAATATCCAAACAGCTGCTTAGGGGATGCACAGCTTGATTTCAAAACCATCTCAGTCCTTGCTCTGACTGAATTCACAGGTTCTGAGACTGAAGCAATACCAGTGGGAAATACCTTTTATTGCCAGACACTCACCAGGTTACAGTAGCACTGGGACATTATAAACCTGAACGAAAAAGGAGCTCTTAGAACCAAGTGTATCATATAATTCTGTTACCCCAGGACAGTAAGGGTTGAACATGGACTTTCAACATGACTGCATCCACGCTTTTCCCTAAAAAAGAGATGATGTGGAAATGTGCAGCTGCATCTCCCCAAGAGCTACCAAGCAGCTCAGTCTTACAGCAAGGACGGCTACCAGCTGCAGTTTGGTATTTTAAAGCCATTAGTCAGGGCAGCAATAATTTCTACTCCATATTCTAACTACTCCCATTGTGACTCGTACTTCCCTGTGCTGTAGGAATAAGCCATGCTATTCTTACCACACCTCTGGAGTCTCTAATGTGCTTAATAACACAAACAAGCCCTGTCCTAAATATACAGGTAAAATACTTAGGAGAAATAAAGAGCAGGAGCCAGTGTGCACAGTAATCATTTATCCAACAACGAGAGGTAACATTACAGGTGTGCAAGTGGTACAGCCTCAGCTTCCTCATGTGCAACCTGCTGCAGGAGAAGATCTCCACCTGCTTTGTTGGCAGCAGTTACTTCACACTGGGAGCACATGCAACAAATAAAGTCACCCACAAAATGTACCTGCACTCTCCAGAGATCTCAGGGAACTTCCAGAGCTCCCCAGGCAATGTCTGTTGTGCTGAATGGACCACAATCCCAAGCATTCCCTTTAAGGGCCACTCTGCACTTGGGAGCTGAAAATTCGGGGGAAAACAAAGCCCCATTCATTTGATGTTACTATCTTACAAGAAACATCTCTGCATCAGAGAGCTAATAAGCATGTATTCCTGCTCCTTCTCCCCTATCCAAATCTAAATCCAAATCCCTTCCCAGCCCTCCGGGCTCCTGAGCTGACCTTTCCAAGGCTCTTTCAAGCTACACATCCCAATGCCTTCCCTCATCCCACGTTTTATCAAAAGATCACACCAACTCTATGAAATTACCCAGTTCTCCCCCCTGCCAACAGTCTCATTCTACCAAAAGGATCTGGGCACCTCAGCTGGGGAACCTGACCCTCCATTTCCAAACCTTTAACCAAGAGACAGAGCTTCCCAGCATCAGAAACGAGATCCAGCAACTCCCAGGGCATGCTACCCCTTTCCATCCAGGGAAATACACTGAGGGCACTCGCACAGATCACAAACCACAAAGACCTTGTTGTTTAGACCGATTACATAAATATTTTCCCTGAGTCTGAGATACACCACCATTTTTGGACAATAAGCCGGAGTTTAGAACATAAACAAAGATAATCACTTTCTGCTTGCCTAAAGGTGAGCTTCCCTTCAGCTGCGGACCACTGGAGCCCCCTTGGCAGAGCCATGCCCACCCTCCAAGGAGATAGCACCTTTCTAAGAAAGCTATTTCCCAGTATTTCACTGGAAATAACCACGGGGAGCAGTTTAAGTGTGCGCACACCGAGGGAGCGGGGGAGTTATCTCTGGCATGTGCCACTTGAGGAGCTCTCAGAGAGGCTGGCAGCTCCCCTCGGCCACGACGGGGTGGAGGTGACACCGTGCCAGGTTACACGGCACTGGAGGGGTGGAGGTGACACCGTGCCAGGTTACACGGCACTGCTCTCACACACACGGGCAGAACCCAGGTGGAGGTGACACCGTGCCAGGTTACACGGCACTGCTCACACACACACCAGGTTACACGGCACTGCTCTCACACACACACACACACACGGGCAGAACCCAGGTGGAGGTGACACCGTGCCAGGTTACACGGCACTGGAGGGGTGGAGGTGACACCGTGCCAGGTTACACGGCACTGCTCTCGCACACACACATACACGGGCAGAACCCAGGTGGAGGTGACACCGTGCCAGGTTACACGGCACTGGAGGGGTGGAGGTGACACCGTGCCAGGTTACACGGCACTGGAGGGGTGGAGGTGACACCGTGCCAGGTTACACGGCACTGCTCTCACACACACACACACACACACACACACGGGCAGAACCCAGGCACAGAACGCTCGGAGAACCTCACCCTCCCACCGCCAGGGCTGGAGTCAGGGGCACGAACCCAAGGGGAGCTGAAAGCACAGCCCGAGGCACGGGGAGGCAGCTTCAGGATCCCCCGCCAGCCCTTGGCTCAAAGCTCTTCTACTTTTTCAAAAAAACCTCATGAAGAACCAAGCTTGTTGCTCCTTCTTCCTCTGAAAGAGGGTATTTCCTAAACCTACACCAAGGCAACAACGCCACAATGCCGATAATTCTGAATCAGCTTAATTGTCTTTCCTGTGTTCCTGAAGAGGAACCAGCATTTTCCAGAAGCCAGCACAGGCAGTCATGTAATCACATTAATGGGAGAACCTCAATGACCAGTTGGAGAAGTCCTGACAGACAAGTTCCCTAAACTGCTTCTGCGTGTATCGGGTGCTGTTTGAGTCGTTTCAATAATTACATATGTTCATGTAATGAAAAATGCGAACATAGACCTAACAATTGTGTATCCACAATGCTACCTGGCATTGCATCACTCCTGTGGAGATCTAGGTTAAAATGAGAAGTGCTTATATTTCCTTCACCTTTGTATCTCAGCCCTAAAGGAAAGAGGGCATTACCCACAAAAAACCCATCCTCACCGCATTGGGTTTTGAAATAATACTCGGAAGGAAGCAAGTTAGCAAAATTTCAGGATGGATTTTGTGCGGGTCCTTGGAGCCCCCGTGCAGAACTGAAACCATCGCTGGCTGCTGACCTTGAGCCCCCGGGCCCGGGGAGCCGCGCCCGCCCTGCCGCTCCCAGCCCCGGCCCGGCACCGGCGGGAGCGCGGGTCAGCCCGGGACACGGCCGGGGGCACGGCCGGCACCGGCACCGGCAGGGAGCGGCACCGGCAGGGGACCGGTACTGCCCGGGGACCGGCACCGCTCGGGGACCCGGCACTGCCTGGCACCGGCACCGCCCGGGAACCGACACCGTCCGGGACCTGGCACCGGCACCGGCCGGGACCGGCACTGTCTGGGACCGGCACTGCCCGGGGACCGAACGGATGGTTGGCAGGAGCCGGGCTCGGTGGCTTCCGCGCTGCACCGGCCCGGTACAAGCGCGGCGAACAAAGGGAAGCGCCGCAGCGGAGCCCGCGGGAAGGAGGGCGGGCGCGGGGAACAACAACCGGCTCCATCGCCGCTCGGTCCGCCGGGCCCGGCCGGACAGGGCAGCGACGCCCAGATCCCGGTAACGCCCCCCGGCCCCCTCCACCGCTCCCCGCTCTCCCGTTGCCCTCGATGCCTCCCCTTCCCCGCCGCCTGCGGCCGCCCGAGTCCCGACCACAGCCGCCCCCGCCCGCAGCGGGGCTCGGCCCCGCCGCCGCCCCTCTCAGCCCCCGCGGGCCGGGCCGCCCTGCACCTGCCTCCGCCCCCCCAGGGGCAGCGCCGCGCCAGCACGGGCCGGGCCGGGCCAGGCTGGGCCGGACCGGACCGGACCGAGCCGAGAGCGGGACCGGGACCGCACCCGCCCCACCGCACCGACCTGCCCGGCCCCGCGCTGCCGCCGCCGCCGCTCCGCTCCCCATCGGCCGACCCGCCCCGCCGCTGACCGACGGCGCGGCCGCCAATCAGCGCTGCCGCCGCCGCGGCCGCGGGCCAGTCCGCCGCGGGAAAGGCGGGGCGGGGGCGGGCACAGCCAATGAGGCGGCGCGGAGGGCGGGGCCGCGCGTGAAAATCCCTTTTGTTCGCGGCAGAGCGAGCGGGCGGCCGTGATTGGCGCGTCACTTCCGGCGGGGCGGGGCCGCGGCACCGCCCGGGCCACCGCCCCCGGCCATGGCTGCGGCTGGGCGGGGCCCGGGGCCGGGGCCGGTGCCAGGCGGGAAGGGCTGCGCGAGCCCGGGACACGGACAGGGGCACAGGGGCTCAGCGATTGCAGCCCCGCCGTGCCCATCTGTGCCCCGGTGTGCCCGGCGGCGTGCAGCCCAGGTGTGCCCAGGTGTGCCCCGGTGTGCCCGTCTGTGCCCCGGTGTGCCCAGCGGCGTGCAGCCCAGGTGTGCCCGTCTGTGTCCCGGTGTGCCCATCTGTGTCCCGGTGTGCCCGTCTGTGCCCAGGTGTGCCCAGCGGTGTGCAGCCCAACCGTGCAGCCCGGACGCAGCCCCGCGCTCCGGTGCCGTTCCGCTGGCGGGGCTGCCGCGCTCCGTTCCCGTTCCCGTTCCCGCGGCGGGGCTGCCGCGCTCCCGGTGCCGTTCCGGCGGCGCTCCGGTGCCGTTCGGGGCTGCCGCGCTCCCGGTGCCGTTCCGGCAGCGCTCCGGTGCCCCCGCGCGTCCGCAGCTCCCGCTCAGCCCCAGCCCCGCCGCTCGGAGCTGTTTTCCCGAGTTCTCAAAGCACACTCAAACCGCTCACAGCTCAGAATAGCAGGGAGCGGGTGCCTTCCCCTGTGTTTTGTCCGTGCGTTCCCGTGTGTTTGCTCCCGTGTGTTTTTCCCGTGGTTTTTCCCGTGTGTTTGTTCCTGTGCGTTCCCGTGTGTTTTTCCTGTGTGTTTTTCCCGTGTGTTTGTTCCCGTGCCGTTCCCGTGTTTGCTCCCGTGTGTTTTTCCCGTGTGTTTGTTCCTGTGCGTTCCCGTGTTTGCTCCCGTGTGTTTTTCCCGTGTGTTTGTTCCCGTGCCGTTCCCGTGTTTGCTCCCGTGTGTTTTTCCCGTGTGTTTGTTCCTGTGCGTTCCCGTGTTTTTGTTCCCGTGTGTTTTTCCCGTGTGTTTGTTCCTGTGCGTTCCCGTGTTTTTGTTCCCGTGTTTTTGTTCCCGTGTGTTTTTCCCGTGTGTTTGCTCCTGTGTGTTTTTCCCGTGTGTTTGTTCCTGTGCGTTCCCGTGTTTTTGTTCCCGTGTGTTTCTCCCGTGGTTTTTCCCGTGTGTTTTTCCCGTGTGTTTGTCCCCGTGCGCTCCCGTGCGTTCCCAGGCTGGCACGGACCATCGGCGGGGCTGTTGCTCGCTGGCCATTCCCGCTGCGAACATTCCCGGTGCTGTCCAGCCCCGCTCCTGGAAGCTCGGGAGAAAGGAGAGCTTTGTGCGTGAGCTGATTGCCTGGAGATGAACCGAGCCTGGAAAGGCCGTGGATGCACGGGATACACCAGGGAACATCTGGCACCAAAAGCTGCTCTGTTCTGGGGCTTGCTGAGGACACCTGGTGAGCCCAGAGCAAACATCTGAAGGGACTGAGAGTCCCAAACCTCCCAGGTGGTCTCAGGGGTGGCAAATAAACAACTGCAGCCTTTAAAATCAGTGCTATTGAGAGGAGAAAAAAAAAAAAGTGTAATAGCTGAGTCCATACAGAAAAAATATATTAAAAGATAAAGACGATATTCAGTTGCCCAGTGGTCTGCATTGAGGGGGCAATAAATCATCTGCACAGGATAGGAGAGGCTCTCCAGGTCTGGAAGACATCTCTCTCCAGGCTGTTGGGTCACTTTACACTTTGCATTTTTTGACATGCTGTAGAGATGCTGGCACAGACTGCCCAGAGACATTGTGGCTGCAGGAATGTTTGCAGCAGGAATGGCCAGCGAGTGGGTGACCCTGCCAACAGCCCGTGCCAGGCTGGGAGTGCCCAGGGCCAGGCTGGACAGGGCTTGGAGCAACGTGGGATAGAGGAAAGTGTCCCTGCCCGTGGCAGGGGGTGGAAGAGATGAGCTGTGAGGTCCCTCGAGTGACATTCTGTGATTCTGTGATTGCCAGGTGTGGCAGGTGCAGGCAGAACAATCAGGTGCCCTGAGAGTCTGGGCAGGGTGGAAGGGAACGAGGAGAGGGCAGGTCCAGATGGCTCCAGCAGCTGCACAGATGGGGACAAGCACGGGGTGTGCAGGAGGTTCTGGATGCCTGTGCCTGCCACGGAACCTGCAGGTCCTGTGGGATCAGAGCTGCAGGTCCTGTGGGATGGGAGCAGGAGTCCTCAGCTCTTTGGGAAGCCAGGGAGGAACCAGGATGGGACCCTCAGCAGCACTGGGCAGGCTCCTGTCCTGCTGGGGAGGATCAACCACCAAAATCTCCCAGAGGGAACGAGGGGGTAAGAGAGAGATTCCCCCTGAAGTATCACAGGCAAGAGAGATAAACCACAAACACAAACAATTAGGAAGAAGCACATCTGTCATGTTCTTGATGCTGTCGGAATGAGAATCCATCTGGGAAAAGAGCCAGCCCTGCCTCCCTGGGAATTATGCATTTTTTCTTTTTAAATATTGTATGACATCCATCTCTGGAGCTGTGTGTTGTTTGTGCTGGCATGTGGGTGTGTATTTCTGAAGGCTCCCCATATTAACACAAGATCTATAGTCTCATTTTAGAAAATTTGCGGCTATAAAAATATATTCTGGGTTTGACTGAGTGTTTTTCCCTTCCTTCCTGAAACTCTGGAGCCACGTAAAATAGCTTCATAAAACTTGTAGGGCTTTTTAAACAGAAGTTACTGCCTTGCCTTGCTTTTCAAAATGCACTCTTGATTTTAAATGTTGGGATATTGTTTGCTTTTAAACTAGTGAATGCTGGAAAGTTGCTCTAAATTCCTTTTTTATTTTGTTGCTTACTGAGAAAAATCCCATTATACCAAAGGGAAATGGGAATAAAGCATTTCATAAAAATATATGGTATATAACCAAAAAAACCCCACTCAGTCTTCTAAAATGAGTGTGCAGAAAAAGGGTGGAATTCTTTCAGCATTATCCCTTGAGCAAATGCCCTCCCTCGGGAGGTACCCAAAGGAGTGTGGGCCCCTCCTCAGCCCCAGAAGTCCCTTCCCTGGTGGTGGCTGCTCAGGCCCAGGGCAGTCCTGGAGATCCTGGGGGTTTCTGGCTCTGCCCGAGCGGGGCTGCAGCTCCCAGCCCCGAGGGACAGGGACAGAGGGACAGGGACAGAGGGACAGGGACAGAGGGGCTGGGACAGAGGGACTGGGACAGAGGGACAGGGACAGAGGGGCTGGGACAGGGACAGGGACAGAGGGACTGGGACAGAGGGACAGGGACAGAGGGACAGCACAGGGAGTGATGGACAGCACTGAGGGACTGGGACAGAGGGACAGGGACAGAGGGACAGCACAGGGAGTGCTGGACAGCACTGAGGGACAGGGACAGAGGGGCTGGGACAGAGGGGCTGGGACAGAGGGACAGGGACAGAGGGAGAGGGACAGAGGGACTGGGACTGAGGGACAGCACAGGGACACTGTGTGAGCTCCCGCTGCTGCTGCTCCTTGCCCAGCCCCTGGAAGGACAGAGGGACAGCACAGGGACACTGTGGGAGCTCCCACTGCTGCTCCCAGCCCTTGCCCAGCCCCTGGAAGGACAGAGGGACAGCACAGGGACACTGTGGGAGCTCCTGCTGCTGCTCCCAGCCCTTGCCCAGCCCCTGGAAGGACAGAGGGACAGCACAGGGACACTGTGTGAGCTCCCACTGCTGCTCCCAGCCCTTGCCCAGCCCCTGGAAGGACAGAGGGACAGCACAGGGACCCTGTGTGAGCTCCCACTGCTGCTCCCAGGCTCTGCTCCTGCCCTGGAAAGGCACCAGCCCAACAGGACAGTGACTCTGAGCCCCCAGAGCCAGGCTGGGGCTCCTCACGCCCCTCTCAGTCACTTTGTGAGGGCTGGAGTGAGAGTGTGAGCAGCCAGGGAGCAGCTCCAGCTCCACGGCCTGGGGAAAGCCCTTTTTCCAATCAGGCAATTTGTGATTTCAATTGCTAAGTGTTTCCCTTCCATTCCTTGGCACTCTAGCACCGTCTGAAATGGCTTCCTCAGGACTTCAGGAAGGCTTGTGTTACATTATGTAAGGTTTAACAGCCATCACTTCCCCAAAAGTAATACAGAAAAGTGTTTTTTATGACACAAGAGGGAGATTGCTCATTTAGGAAGCTGATTCTTTGTTATTTTCAAATGACTGCTTTGGTGCAACTTCAATCTAATAAATAATATTTTTAATGAAAAAAATAGAATAAATTTTGCTGATATTTTGATAAGTGGAAATGCCTGCTGAGAGGAAATTAAATTTGTCTTTTTATCTTTATAGGTGCATATCATGTAGGTTTATGTGTCATATTTGGATATAAGGAGCCCTGAGGACACTGCCTGCATTCACAGAAGCACAGGATGGGAAAGGTGGGAAATGGCCGTGGTGGGGTGCCCTGGCCCAGCCCCATCTGTGCCTTTCTGGAGCTGAGCTGAGGTCACTAAGCCTGCAGGAAGGGCTCGTTTGTCCCACATGGAGCTGACAGACAATTCCTGCCCCAGTCCTGCCACAGACCCAGCCCAGGAACCATCCCAGCCTTTCTGATCCCTGTGGGTGATTTCCTTTTCTCTCTATGACCATTTATGCACCCATTAATTCATCCTTGGCCTTTCACACGGACACCCTGTCCCTCTCCATGGGTCCCACAGCCTTGGCAGGGTCAGCCTGGGCAGGGAGCTTCTCACCATCCCTAAAATATTAATTACAGGCAGCCAGAAGAAGTGTGGCTTTGCTCTACTGAAGCTGTTAGCAATTTCCATGGAAAGAGCACTCAGGGAGCTGCTGGCTGGGTGCTGGCTTTCC